CTGAGAAAAGAAGCATGGAAGTTTCAGTCAGTAAAATCTCCTGGTTTGTGGTTTTTGCAAATCTCCTGACTTTGTCATCCTTGCAAAATCAAACCTTGCTGAGCACTAGAAGGATAATGAGGATTCTGGGGATGGAGCCAATTCTGGAAAAAGATACCAAGGGTGGCTGGAAAGTAGGTTCCTATATTTAAAAAAAAAAAAAAAAAAAGGGCAGAAAGAGAGTCTATAAAAAAAAAAAAAAAAAAGTGCAGAAAGAGAGTCTGAGAAAAATACTGAAAATACACCATGTGATTCTAGAGCAGGTACAGTTCAGAAGATAAGAATAGACCAGATACAGGTAGTGAGCCCTAGGGAGAAGTAGGCATAAACAGTGTGGGAGGACTACCATCAGCAATTTGATCCCATTTTATGGGTTCCAGGCAGTATAAAAGGTAGCGGTGGGGGGCAGGACACTCCAGTGGGGGTTCAGTGTGTACTTATCTATTCCCACATATTCATATCCACAACATTTGCCATTTGTAGAATAAGGAAATCAAGTTTGTAACCAGATCCCCCTTTGAAATTGGCATGGATTTGAATGTCTAAAACTAGATCTTTAATATGGAATGGGGGATTTCTTAAATGGATGACACTCTCCTTGCACACCTTATTCTTGAGAGAGGATAAATGTGACCAAAAGGTCACCCTCTTGGTTCTCTTGCATCTTGACAGTAGGTGGTGAGGAAAGTCTCAACTGATAAATTTACACTTGTATGCTGTCAAGCTGTGGCTTAATTTAATCTCTGGTCAAGTGTCCTATACCATTGCTTTTCCCGCAGGACCTGCAGGTCCTATTCTGGGAGTATTTAGGTGCATCATCCAATGGAGCAAAGCAGTCCTAGTGAGCCACAGATTCTGATGAAGGGGAGGATAAGTCCTATGCAAACTCTTTGAATTAATTTCTGATGTGGATAAGAAGACAGCAGAAGTAATGGAGAAATGATGAATGGGCTGCTGCACGCACCATGAGTGGTGATCTTCTATGTGAATATCTACCTTCTGTGTGCTGTATCCTGGCCTGGAGATGACATAAGTGCATGGTACAGTGGCAGTGTCCTTTTGAATAAGGAGCATGCTGTCAGCCAAGCCAAAGATGGCAGAAAGTGTGTCAATAGGAAGAAGCAATCTGTAGATCTGAGGCCCTCAGGGAGTTTCATCTCGGAGCTTTGTGTCTAATTGGTCTGCAACCAAGGAGTAAGGGTGGCTGTATTCTGTCAAGTGGCCCGATATCAGTGTTGAAGATAGGAAACTGATGCATCTTGTGAAACTGTTAGCGCTTTTGAGGAGGAATCTCTCTGGCCTGGCTATAAGGAATGCTTCTCCATACATGCTATATCAGAATTCACTAGAAACTGTTGCAGCAGACTCTCTTAAAGTTTTCATTTCAGAGAGCAAACATTTCTAACTACTGTGATTGGGAGCAGGGAGAGTGAGCCCAGTGCAACCAATCTGAGATTGATATCTCAAAAGTGTGAAAGGTTGCAATTAGTTGTTAGCTCTGAAACCTGCTAATAACTCTTTTTGACCCTGTGCTTGTTTTCAACTTGGTTTGAATTTGTATGCCAGACCTTCCCAGTGAAAATGTCATTTAGCCAATCAGGATCACAGAATATACTTGCTATCTCCAGAACAGGAAAAAAAAACACTTTCCCATTTGACATCGTGACCAAAGGTTTGATGTTCTTAGGAATGGTGTGGGTGGAAATGTCCAAATAATTTCCATATTCACTGCTACTTAGTTTGGTGTTTTGGATAAAACATTTTTCATATCTGTCATGATAAGCAGTGGGATATTTGTATCTGGAAGGGAGGATAGTCTCTGTATCCTATAGAGGGACCAATTCATCCTTAATGTGGCTCTATTAATATTGCTGGAGTTCAACCAATGTTAATCTCTATACAGTGATATACTACATATTAGGGCTGTGCGAAATTTCACCAGCAGTTCTGTTTCAATGCTGTTTCGACTCATTTTGAGCTTGAAACAGTGAAACCAAAATGAAACGGTGCGCTTTGAAACAGCCTCGAAACAAAATGAGGCAAGTCGAAATGTTTCAAAATTTTCAAAACGTTTTGAAGCTCAAGCTGGGCTTGCCTGCAAAGAAACAGAAACTAAAGTAAGGATAGGGAGGGGGAGAAGGAGTGCTCTCATCATTGACTGTGTAGCTGGTCAGTGACTGCCATCCTTCCCTGAGGTCCCTTCCAATCCCAGTGCTCTGGGAGAGGGATGGAAAAACTTTATAAAAGGCAGCATTGTTTGAACTGCCCTGCTTTCTGCTTTGGTGTCAGTTACTGAGCTGTGTGTTCCAGTTTTGCCTGTCAGCAGCCAGAGGTGCAGGGCCCCAGAACCCAGAAGCTCCTGCACCTATCTCCTTGACAGCTGGCAGGCTTTCTGGCCTCAGCAGGGGCTAGCAAGCCTGTGGTTTTCACCCTGCTGTGTCTTAACGTGCACATGGTGCCACCAATGTCATGAGTTTTGCTTGTCCGCAGCTTGAGGTGCTGTTTCCCCCAAACCTCTGCACCTATCTCCTGGAATCTTGGCAGAATTTGTGGCCTCAGCAGAAGCTAGTGAGCCTGCAGTTTTGACCCCACTGTGGCTTAACACATACGCATGACATGAGTGTTGCTTTCAAGACTTTGAGGTGCAGTTTCCCAGAAACCCCTGCACCTATCTCCTCGAAACTTGGCAGACCATGCCATTAGAAGGGGCTACCAGTCCTGCAGGTTTCATCCAAATCTGGCTGGAAATGACAATGACAAAGTTATAGGCTGTTTCAAGCTTCCCCATTATCGCCTATGGGCAAAACATTGAAACGGTGTCAAAACAGCAAAACTGTTTTGATGAAATGAAACAGAACAGCAGTTTCGAATTGAAATGAAATTCAAAATGAAACGTTATTCCATCGAAATGCAAGCCGAAATGGAACAGTGCTGTTTCGCACAGCCCTACTATATATGCACTTACACACTATTGTATAGTTGTATACAATATAGACTACATCCGTTTAAAAAAAATCTTATCACTTTCTATTCTAACCATCACTTATTCATATATGCTAAGGTCAGAAGGGACCTCAACAGATCATCAAGTCTGACCCCCTGCCTAGGCAGGAAAGATTGCTGGGGTCAAATGACCCCAGCCAAATGCCTATCCAGCCTTCTCTTAAAGACCCCCAAGGTAGGGGAGAGCACCACCTCCTTTGGAAGCCCATCCCAAATTCTGGCCACCCTTATCATGAAGAAGTTTTTCCTGATATCTAGCTTAAATCTGTTCTCTGTCAGTTTGTGCACCCCGAAAGGTGCCCTGGTGAACAGAGCCTCTCTGATCCCATGCTGCGCCCCCCTAATGAATTTGTAGGTGGCCACAAGATCATCTCTCAGCCTTCTCAGCCTTCTCTCAGCCTTCTCTTCCTTAGTCTCTCCTTATAGGGCTTGTCCTGTAAGCCCATAACCATATGAGTGGCCCTCCTCTGGACCCTCTTGAGTCTATCAACATCCTTCTTGAAATACAGTGCCCAAAACTGGATGCAGTACTTCAATTGCAGTCTGATCAATAGAGGGGACCCATCACCTCCTTGGATCTATTTGTCATGCATTTGCTGATGATTTCGTCGCACTGACGACCCATGTTCATCTTGGAGTCCACTATGACTCCGAGATCCCTTTCCGCTTCTGTGCTGCTGAGAGGGTCACTTCCCAGCCAGTAGGTGTGCTGGATATTTTTGCGCCCTCTGTATTTGTCCTTGGTGTACTGCATCCTATTGTGTTCTGCCCACGTTTCTAACCTGTCCAGATCTGCCTGCAATCGTTCCATACACTCTGGAGTGTGCACTTCACCTCACAATTTAGTATCTTCCTCAAACTCGGATAGAGTACACTTCACACCCACATCCAAGTCACTGATGAAGATATTGAAGAGTACAGGGCCAAGGACCAAACCCTGTGGGACCCCACTACCCACATCCTTCCAGGTCAATACCGACTTGTCTACTATCACTCTCTGGGTGCGACAACCAGACAGTGTAAACATCTATGTCACAACCTCTTAATTTATTTATGAGAATAGGATGAGATACTGTGAAGTCCAAGAAAATGACATCCACCTCTGCTCCTGCATCTAAGCCTTTTTTGACCCTGTCATAAAACAAAGCCAGATTGGTCAGACATGATCTACCTGCTACAAATCCATGCTGGTTTCCCTGCTGCATTATTTTTCACGCTAGACTCCCACAGATATGATCCTTCATAATCTTTTCAAAGACGTTGCCAAGGATGGAGGTGAGATTGACTCGCCTATAATTACTCGGATCCTCTTTCCTCCCCTTCTTGAAAATAGGGACCACATTGGCCCTTTTCCAATCCTCCAGGACCTGACCCAAGTGCCACGAATGCTCAAACAACCATGCCAGTGGTTCTGCTATGACACTGACCAATTCCTTCAGTAGCCTCGGATGCAGCTCATCCGGCCCTGTTGACTCGAATACATCCAGTCCATCCAAGAGACACTGCACCAAGTCAGAATCAACAGTTAGTGGGCTGGTGTCCCTCTGATGCCCATCTAAGAACCTGTTAGGAGATTTATCTTGAGCCCTGTTCAGGAACGCTGAGGTGAGAAACTCACTGAATAGCTCAGCCTTGTCCCTCCTCTCTGTCACTAATTGCTCCTCCTTGTTCAGTAGGGGTCCTATGCTGCCCTGCACCTTCCTTTTACTCCCTACATACCTAAAAAAAAGACTTTTTGTTGTGTTGCCAGCCTCAGCTCCGTGGTTGCTTTGGCCTTTCTAAGTGCCTCCCTGCAAGTGCGGGCCAAGTAGGTATACTCCTCCTTGGTAGCTATCCCCTGCTTCCACCACCTATATGCCTTCTTTTTGCCCTTAGGCTCCCCTGGATTTCCCTGTT